ATGAATTGTCCTGGGAATCTTCTCTACAATCCCCATTCAGAACAGTGCGATTGGCCAGATGCAGTTACCTGTGGCGACAGGGTGATCCCAGATGGCAACGAATCGGGAGGAGGTGACGGAAACGGCAATGGCAACGGAAACGGTAATGGTGATGGAGGCGCTGGTGGTGGAGGAGGTGGTGGAGGTGGCGGCGGAGGCGGCGGAGGCGGCGGAGGCGGCGGCGGAGGCAGTGGCGGAAACAACGGCACTTGCAATTGTAATCCAGGAGAAGCACCCTCTATCTGCAGTGGGCCAGGGTCGAACGGAGTCTTAATTGCTCACGAAAATTGCAATCAGTTTTACAAATGTTTCAACGGAGCACCAGTTGCCATGAGTTGTCCTGGCGATCTGCTCTACAACCCCTATTTGGAACGATGCGACTGGCCAAATGCAGTTAACTGTGGAGACAGAGTAATCCCAGAAGACTGCGAAACTGAAGGTGGTGGCAATGGAAATGGTGATGGTAATGGCAATGGCAACGGTGACGGAGGCTCCGGTGGTGGAGGCGGTGGTGGAAACGATGGCACTTGCAATTGTAATCCAGGAGAAGCACCCTCTATCTGCAGTAGACCAGGGTCGAACGGAGTCTTAATAGCTCACGAAAATTGTAATCAGTTTTACAAATGTTACAACGGAGCACCAGTTGCCATGAATTGTCCTGGGAATCTTCTCTACAATCCCCATTCAGAACAGTGCGATTGGCCAGATGCAGTTACCTGTGGCGATAGGGTGATCCCAGATGGAAACGAATCGGGAGGAGGTGACGGAAACGGCAACGGCAACGGAAACGGTAATGGTGATGGAGGCGCTGGTGGTGGAGGAGGTGGTGGAGGTGGCGGCGGAGGCGGCGGAGGCGGCGGCGGAGGCGGCGGCGGAGGCAGTGGCGGAAACAACGGCACTTGCAATTGTAATCCAGGAGAAGCACCCTCTATCTGCAGTGGGCCAGGGTCGAACGGAGTCTTAATTGCTCACGAAAATTGCAATCAGTTTTACAAATGTTTCAACGGAGCACCAGTTGCCATGAGTTGTCCTGGCGATCTGCTCTACAACCCCTATTTGGAACGATGCGACTGGCCAAATGCAGTTAACTGTGGAGACAGAGTAATCCCAGAAGACTGCGAAACTGAAGGTGGTGGCAATGGAAATGGTAATGGCAATGGCAACGGTGACGCAGGCGCCGGTGGTGGAGGCGGTGGTGGAAACGATGGCACTTGCAATTGTAATCCAGGAGAAGCACCCTCTATCTGCAGTGGACCAGGGTCGAACGGAGTCTTAATAGCTCACGAAAATTGTAATCAGTTTTACAAATGTTACAACGGAGTACCAGTTGCCATGAATTGTCCTGGGAATCTTCTCTACAATCCCCATTCAGAACAGTGCGATTGGCCACATGCAGTTACCTGTGGCGACAGGGTGATCCCAGATGGCAACGAATCGGGAGGAGGTGACGGAAACGGCAACGGCAACGGAAACGGTAATGGTGATGGAGGCGCTGGTGGCGGAGGAGGTAGTGGAGGTGGTGGCGGAGGCAGTGGCGGAAACAACGGCACTTGCAATTGTAATCCAGGAGAAGCACCCTCTATCTGCAGTGGGCCAGGGTCGAACGGAGTCTTAATTGCTCACGAAAATTGCAATCAGTTTTACAAATGTTTCAACGGAGCACCAGTTGCCATGAGTTGTCCTGGCGATCTGCTCTACAATCCCTATTTGGAACGATGCGACTGGCCAAATGCAGTTAACTGTGGAGACAGAGTAATCCCAGAAGACTGCGAAACTGAAGGTGGTGGCAATGGAAATGGTGATGGTAATGGCAATGGCAACGGTGACGCAGGCGCCGGTGGTGGAGGCGGTGGTGGAAACGATGGCACTTGCAATTGTAATCCAGGAGAAGCACCCTCTATCTGCAGTGGACCAGGGTCGAACGGAGTCTTAATAGCTCACGAAAATTGTAATCAGTTTTACAAATGTTACAACGGAGCACCAGTTGCCATGAATTGTCCTGGGAATCTTCTCTACAATCCCCATTCAGAACAGTGCGATTGGCCAGATGCAGTTACCTGTGGCGACAGGGTGATCCCAGATGGCAACGAATCGGGAGGAGGTGACGGAAACGGTAATGGTGATGGAGGCGCAGGTGGTGGAGGTGGCGGCGGAGGCAGTGGTGGAAACAACGGCACTTGCAATTGTAATCCAGGAGAAGCACCCTCTATCTGCAGTGGGCCAGGGTCGAACGGAGTCTTAATTGCTCACGAAAATTGCAATCAGTTTTACAAATGTTTCAACGGAGCACCAGTTGCCATGAGTTGCCCTGGCGATCTGCTCTACAACCCCTATTTGGAACGATGCGATTGGCCAAATGCAGTTAACTGTGGAGAAAGAGTAATCCCAGAAGACTGCGAAACTGAAGGAGGTGGCAATGGAAATGGTAATGGTAATGACAATGGCAACGGTGACACAGGCGCCGGTGGTGGCGGCAGTGGCGGAAACAACGGCACTTGCAATTGTAATCCAGGAGAAGCACCCTCTATCTGCAGTGGGCCAGGGTCGAACGGAGTATTAATTGCTCACGAAAATTGCAACCAATTTTATAAATGTTTTAACGGCATTCCTACGATACAATCTTGTCCATCTAACCTTTTGTATAACCCTCAATCTGAACAATGTGATTGGCCTAATTATGTCGTTTGCGGCGATAGGATAAACCCAATTGAGGACAACAATGACAATGACAATACCGATGGTGAAAACATTCCAATAGAAGTTATTGAAATTTGTGCTTCAGATTTATCTGATTCAGTTTACATTGCACATCAAAATTGCAATCAATTTTATGTTTGTATTCAAAAGAAACCTGTAGTTCTAACTTGTCCTGCAAATCTATTTTATGATCCCAAAACAAACCAGTGCGATTGGTCTTACAATGTAGATTGTGGAATTCGCAGCCATTAAGAGAACTCCTATGAAATATATGTACTGGATATGAATACGATTCTGTTTTATAGATCTCATAATTGTGAATAAAGCAGACGAAGAAAAAGGTGTTTTTATTGTAAACTATGCTTTAAGCTTTTTTTTTATATATCTAGAATTTTAAGAATTCAATGCTTTTATAATTAATATTTATTAATTTTCAAATAAAAGTCTAACATTAAGAATTAATTGGTACTTTTTATTTTATTATACCCATATTAGCAATATTTTACAATTATAATATATTTTACATGTATCTATTTGGGGATTTACCTTTATGAAATAGGCGATAGTTTCTTAATAGGATTTACTATCCTTTTCTGCCACTCCGCTACTTTAAATAGTTCTTTATGGTCAGATCTATTTATTTTTATGAACAAAATCTTTAAAAGCAAGTTCAATTCAACTCGCAAAAAAAAGACATCAAGTGGTAATACCGCGTTTCATCTGAAGAGTGCATACTGGGGCTTAATCCTTTCCTTTTCTTTCTTTCCCTTCCCACTCTTTTCTTTTAAGGAAACGATGATAAGGAGAAGTGGATTTGATGAGTAGGAAGGTAGTGGAAAGGGGCAACATTATTTTCTGTGCGTCTCCTCCTCCATCTATTAAAGGAATGCAACTCATCTGCATTGGCAGATGTTGAAAAGCAGCGGTCGCTTCGCGATTTCGGCGAATCCAGTCGGTCGCTTACTCAATAGGCACCTTATAATATAAAAAAATACCACTTTGTTGTGTTCACTGTGTGCACTGTGGTGTGTTCGAATAAATCGATGAAAAAATTAATCCCTTTGTATGCAAGGCAAAGTAAATCTTCGAAACATGAATTTTAAAATTACTCTTAAGTCCAATAAAGGTCAAACAGCAAATACAAATCGGTATTGCATTTTCAATAAAAGCAGCTAATGAAAAGCAAAAGTTTAGTTATTTCTAATTTATAAATGTTTTTTGATTTTTTTTAAAACATTGACTTTAACAATCGCTTCAATTTTTTTAATATTACGAATATTGTCTGTGTCATCATTGGAGGTATCTTCTTCAGCCGTGTTTTCTTCGGAAGTAACATCTTTTGAAGAGTCGTTTTCATCGGAGGTATCTTCGTTAGAGACATCTTCGTTTGTATCACCTTCTTTAGAGGTATCTTCATTACTATCATTTTCGTCAGTATCATCTTCTTTAGAGGTATTATTACTATCATTTTCGTCAGTATCATCTTCTTTAGAGGTATCATTACTATCATTTTCGTCAGTATCATCTTCTTTAGAGGTATCATCACTATCATTTTCGTCACTGTCATCTTCCTTAGTGACATCTTCCTCAGTATTGTTTTCGTTAGTGTCATTTTCTTTCGAGTCTTCCTCAGAGTCATTTTCAATTGTTACATCTTCTGATGAATTAATTTCTTGACTACTCTGTGAACTTGAATCTTCCTTGCTGTCATTTTCATGACTATCATCTTCTTTAGAGATATCTTCTTTACTAACATCTTCATCACTATCATTTTCTTTTGAAGTAACTTCAAGTGAATTATCTTCTCTGGATGGATTACTTTCAGAACTATCAATTTCCGAACTCGAATCTTCGTTGGAAGTAGTACAGCCTTCCGGTTTTGGCCAACCGCATATCTGTAATATTAGACATAACGAATTACATAAGGTCTCACAATTTTATTACACAAGCGACGTAAACACATTAACATAATTGCAATTTTTTCAGTAAATATTTACATAGATTATAAGCTAACGTTACAGCATCACTTTTATAACAAAAGTAGTTAAAGACTAACTAAAAAAGGGAAAATAAAGATTTTATAAGAGGCCATAGTAGGAAAATAAAATACGAAACATAGTAGGCACAGAGTCTAAAACCCAGTTATCTTCAGGGACTCTTTTTTAAATAGGAAAATACTTTAAGGTACAGTTGTTTTAGGAAGCAAAACCTTTTGTGTTATTATCAAGACTTGAAAATCTTATCTAGTTTACGTTCACGTTGTTTTCTTATCTACGGTGTTATCTTTACATCAGTCTCGGCATTTTCTACAGATAAAATAAAGGCAGATTTTTATAAGAGAAATCGAATTATGTCTATAATGAAGTTCGTAATTATTTCTTCATCTGTGTCAGAAGCTGGTTGTTGTGGATATCTTAGCGAAAGTTTAGTGATGTTTAAGGTATTGATGATGTTCGTACTGGCCACTAATAAATAATGTTGCAATTAAATGTATAAAAGATAAGTGAAACAAATGAGACTCTCGAAGGAAATTAAATGAATCACACCAAATATATAGAGTCGTTACACAACATTCTTGTAACAATATTTAAAGTTACATCGCTTTCAACAATAGAAATTTACTGTTCGCATGAGTTAATATTTGTCATTGTGATGTAATTCGAAAATATTTTATAGCAGTATCACAAAATTATTTATGATAATAGTTTTACATTCTCAAATATGATTTTTAAAAAGTTAATTTATACGCACTTTTGTATAAGAACTGAAAACGTTGCATTTGAAACATGTTCATGTGTATAAAGAAGTCACGTCTATGTTTTAAGCAAATTCGTGTTAATAACAAAATTAAATTTTACTAACCTGCTGCTTAAAATCAAAATGTAACGAACCAGGACAACTTCGTTTTAATTTTCTTCCCGATATGCAAGTATAGAATAGGTTACAATCATTTTCATGCGGCAAAAGCCAGTGTAAAGAGTAATTTCTCGGACAACCATTTTCTAAGAATAGTGATCCTTGTTCTTCATCGGATTCATCATTTGGACAATCAACATTAGCTTTCCAATCGCATTCCAAAGTTTCGAGGTTAAAATACAATCCGGCAGGACATGACATTTCGATTGGTTGCCCAAAAACACATCTGTAAAACTTCTGACAATCTTCATGTTGTAAAAACACATTCTCACTCCATGCTTCTGGTCCTGGACATGAATTAACAGCGTATGCCACACTTATAGACAAAATCAATATCGCCAACTCTCCTATACCTGGAAATTATTCGAAAGTATTGTTTATTTGATATCTCACTTAATAATAACACACTTTGTACAAAATACACAGTACCTGCCATCATTTAAAAAACGTCGGTGCAACGACACACTATGTTAATACTAATTTATATTTGAAAAACACATTGAATCGATTCTACGATTATTCTTTGCGAACATCATTTGTTTTTATCATTTATCAGTAATTGGTAAATAATAATCTTGATTAAAACTATACAATTATTGATTGAAAAATTTTGATTTACAATTTGTACGTAATGATAATAGGCCTGAATTTTTAAAACAGCAAAGCAACAGGATTCATATAAAAATGTTAATGTTTGTGTAAACCTATAACTGCAGAAGAATATTTCGCATCTTTCAACAAATTGTTATTTTTTTATTCTGAATTATAAATTTCGTAAAAAAACCCTATACATATACTTCGATGTCTAGCCCTCTACTCTGAAAGTAATTTTTGTCATATTTGTACTAGCATAGAGTTACGTTGGCATGGTAATGGTACAAGAAATATTGATAAATGTACAAAAATCTGCTAATATTTAATTAAAAGAAAGTTAGAAAAATGTACGCTGTAATACTCTGAGTGCGCTGATTTCATTGCCTCAGTTTCATACTCCTTTTTCTTCTCCATTTAAATTTAACATTTTATTTTTAAATATAAATATATAAACTTTGTCCTTCGACACTTAAAACTTGTTTCGAACTCATGGAGTCCCTAAAACGCTTGAAAATAAAGAGTAAGAGCTTGACCATAATATTATTTGCATTGGAAGTGCATCACAATGAATATATAACTCTAACAGAAATACGAAAAATTAAAATTGTCAGTTCCAAACATTTTTGAAGTTCGTTATGGAATCGCTTCGCAGCGAATGCACTTTGTCAAAATCCGAATCCACTCCGGAATCCCGGAAACAATCGGAATCCTGTCCGATTGTTAAAGAAATAGGAGGCGGAACAAAAGGGATTGATTACCAGATATTGTTAAAAAAAAATGGTTTCTGAATAAATATTTATTGATTCTTTTCAATGCCAAATCAGTTTACAATTACATACTAAATAAAGCACTGAATCCGAACACGCTAAGCTTGTAAAAATAACTTAAGCGGCAACAGTTGTAGGAGGTGGTGTAGCGTCTGTGGTGGTAGAGGTGGTTCCTGTCGCTGTGCAGTTAGCGAATTGAGCCCAGTCGCAAACCTGCAAATATAATGACGTATTAAAACAAGCATTTTTCAATTTATAGACAGAAAAATGATACATTTCTCATCGTTACTATATCATATTTGTTATTTAAATCGATGTATTCAAAATTTCAAGTGAAAGAATCAACGATTATGAAATTTTAATAATATGACAAGACATTGGTGAAAGTGCTTTATAAATATAACTCACCTGTAAATTTTTATTGAAGTGTAAACCATGAGGACAACTCCTTTGAACTTTAGTACCCCAAACACAATAGTAAAAGGCAGAACAATCTTCTTCATCAGGAACGAGCCAATGAATGACTGGGTCTACGGGACATCCATTTTCAAGCAATTCTATTTCATTAGATTCTTCACTGTCTCCGCTAGCTTCTCCTTCAGGCTTAGCCTCGGTTACTTCAGTTACAAGGATAGCTCTTTCAGTGGGCATTCTTCTCTCAGCACAATCGACGTTCAGGGTCCAGTCACAGAAACGGAATACAGAGTTGAACAAGAGTCCCTCAGGGCATATCATCTCGACTGGTTCCCCTTGAACACATTTGTAGAATTTGTTGCAATCCTCATGGGCTACTAATCTATCCACTTCGTAATTAGCGTCCTGTTCCTTAGGACATAATGCACCATCCTCGGCCACCACTGCCGTCACAAGTAAAATCACTGCAAGTACTGTAACAAAATCAACAGATTAACTTATATTTGTATAATTCAAATAAAATATCGCTGATTTAATTAAATTATTGCTAACCTCTCATTGTGTATGATTCCTGAAGTTGTGAAGATAGGGACACTAAGGACTGTGTATTTTATATACTCAACTCTAATCTGGTACTAGGAAAAGACATTATGTGAAATTATTATCTTTAAGTTCAGTTAATTGAAACGCAACAATCCAGATAATGTTAATGGCTAATGGCACTGTCATAAGACCTAGTAATACATATGTTTACTTAAGAGCATCATATTTGTCTTGATTACAATCGTTGTCTTTGCAAACTTATATGACGACCACATATTTGTTCAGTACAGCATTTATCTTCCATATGTATTTGCATTTGCCTTATACTTTCTTTTTTTTTAATATAGAAAAAATACAAAACAAATAAAATATCTATTAGACCGCAGTACTAAAAACCTACAGGGTTTAAATGTACCTGTCCATTTTATATATGATTATACATGATTAAAGACTCAGTATGAACTAAGTTCGCCATCACTTTTGTCAGCTTTTTCTTCTTATGTCTTACTGGCTTTATTTAAGTCGCTAATATAATCTTAATTTTTTACGTCATCATAATTAACTACGTATAACATTTAGAAACAAAAATCTTCCCAGTCTTGAATTCTTTTCCTTATAGGTACAGACGTACTGGTTTGTTCTTCTTGTTATGACCATCCCAGCTTTGAGTTCCAAATACTTAAACCTAAATTACAAGACGTGCCTACGATGATACTTATGAAAATACTAGCTGTAGCCTTTGACTCCGTCCTCGTGGAATTAAAAAACCTTATAAGTAGCCCTTGTGTTATTCCAGACTATGTTCTACATCTATGCCAAATTTTAGCGAGATTCGTTGAGCCGTTCCGAAGATACTTTCAAACAAACATCCATCCATTTCTAGATTGTAAGTGCGATGCGACAAGTTATTGCAAGAAACAATTTTTTTGGAAGATCTGTTGCAAAATATTCAGAATATATGAGTAAGTTCACCAAAATTGTGATCGAAGTTGGGATATTATTTTATCCAAGCAAAAATAGAATATTTTCCATTTTCATTGTTGATAATTACAATTTTTTTTTATTCATTTTATTTACAAATTATAAAATAAGTTGTAAGAATTTCCTACAATACATTCGATTTTACTTAACCCTATCTTCCTTATCTATTGCGAATCAATTTACTAGATTAATATACCTAGTACAAAGAGATAACACGTTACTGATAGCTTTAGTCATCAAAATCATTGTCATACTTAATGGTATCCAAGGTCTCAAGGTCAGTTTTTCCTTCAAATTATAACGCGGATAGTTTCAAGACAAGGTTAGTAGAATATGGAATAATTTTTAGACATGATTAGTTAGAATCCTTTGGCGCGAATGGCCCGCTTTCATTACCAAGTCTAATGACAGAATGATTAGTGAGGGGACATAAACGTCGACATTTCAGTAAGGCTAGTGTTGCGCCAGTACACCGGCACGGTGTCGGATTTTCTTCCTAACAGTATGGATGTTAGTTAGCATCTAACTTCTTACTAATATTATAAATTTGCATGTTTGTTTGTAGGTATCTCAAGAACTTCTGCATGGAACTCGATGAAATTTGGCATGTAGAACATAACCTGGAAGAACGCATAGGCTAATAATTAAGTTTTTTTTTTTTATTCCGAGCGGACGGAGCCGCGGATGATAGCTCGTGTAACTATAAAAATGTATTGAATGAAATTTGGAACAGAGATATGGATTAGTTTGTCACAGAATATAGGCTGGTCAGTTCGTATGAATTAAGTAAAAATTACATTAAATTCGCATACAGCGTTCGAGTATGGGTACTGTCATTAATTTACAAATCTTGCTTCTTACTATCGTAAGTATTAATGTGGAAGGTTAGATCGATGGATGGATGTTTTTTAGAAGATATCTTCAGAACAGCTTAACGGATTTTGCTGAAATTTGGCATTAATGTAGAAAATAACCTGGAAGAACACATAGGCTAGTAATTCAGTTTTTTTATAATCCGTGCCGACGGAGATGCGGGCAAAGGCTAGTTTATATTAATCACAGTTCAAAGATTATTTCCAGGATAATGTTGCTTCTTTTAATCATTTGTTTCGCTTTATCTTTTGTTTTCTTATCTGTGTCGTAGTACAAAATGATATTGAAACTTCAAGTCAATTAATTAATATGCACAAGATATGTTTGTAGATATGATTCTTTTAAAAATGAACAAATTTACTTTTAATCAAGCTAAACTATACTTTGGGGATATTGAATGAAACTAAACTCTAAGACAGCAGAGAAAACATTTTATAATACTACATTTTCGAATGTCCTGTTGGAAGTCCAATTCCCTTCTTTCCTATCATCAGCTCACTATACGTCCCCACTCAGGGCCTCGGAGCCTACCCTAAGTTGGGGGTGACTAGGCTATAGTTAACCATTCTGACCCAGTGCTGCCTTCTTTCCTTTGTTTGTCTCATATTCTCTTTCATTTTTTATTACCCCCTCTGTTTGCTAAAGGTCTACTACGCAATACAATGTTATAGAGGTTCGTTTACGGATTAGTCGTCGATATTTTTTCTGTGGTCGCCAAAACCAGTCGCTCACAACCTGATCATCAAGATCGAAGACAAATCGCTGCGATTTTCAGGATGCTAGAGTTAATCTATACAATTGACATGTAGTCGGTATAGTAGCGTAACTATTGAGTGTAAAGTGCAAATTTTAGCTTAATTTTTAGTTAATTGAATATTGTTGGGATTGGAGAGTGTGTGAAACTAAAATACTAAAAATCTGTGATCTACAGTAGTAATTTTAATTTCGTTTGCATTAGTTTTTATTTTAATAACCGATTTATTATATTTTCCAATTTTTTATGCACTGCGAATTTTTCTTTCTTTTGTTTTCATAAAGCGCAACCAGCAGCTCTCGGCCAGTCACATACCTGAGAAAAAGCAAAATCATTTTTAAAAATTAACATAAATATTAAATCCATATCAATTGTGGCACTTTCGTTGAAAGTCTTTAAGTGTAATTTTTAATTTGTCTCGGTAATTTGTTTAAAAACTATTTTGTCCATTGTAAAATTTGATAAACAGTTAAATACAGACTTAACTGACAACAGCAGCATGAATTATTTAAATATCGTTAACAAACCCCAATAAAAAAAACCTTCTGCATAGTGTTAGGAAGAAAATCCGACACCTTGCCGATGTACTGGCGCAGCACTAGCCTTACTAAAATGTCGATGTTTATGACCCCTCACTAATTATTCTGACACTTGACTTTGTAACGAAAGCGCCCCTTTCGCGCCAAAGGACTCTGAGTAATAATGTCTAAAAATAGATTTAAATTTTACACTAACCTGATATTTCCTATTAAAATGTAGGAATGGTGGACATTGCCTTTTAACTTTAATACTCATAAAACAAGTGTAGAATTGATTACAATTATCCTCATGAGGTAACAACCAACGTATCAATGGATTCATAGGACATCCATTCTCAAAGAAATCTAAATCCGTATTAACAATTTCGTTATCACTATCAACGTCAATGTCTTCATTTTCTACATCATCTATTTCCAATTCAGCATCGTTTGTTATTATATCATCTCTTTGATCTTCTGGGGTACGACGTCCATTACAGTTAACTTTATGTTTCCAATCACATTGTAAATAATTTATATTAAAATAAAGACCTTTAGGACATAACACCTCTAAAGGTTTTCCGTTGTAATTCTTGTAAAACTTATTACAATCTTCGTGTGCTAATACCAATTCAATTTTCCAATCCGTTTCAGATATGTTTAGATTTTGTTGATCAATAACAACACTTTGGATTATTGGAATAATAATTATGATTAAGAAAACTGTAACAATTAATCATATTAATTAAAAACCGTGGATATTCTTTCGATTAATTAAAATAATGAAAATTTACCTTCCATGCTCTCAACTCGTTTCACTAATATCTTTAATGTTATATTATTTTTGACATTGGAACATAACCTAAATCAATTTGAGTTAATGCAATCTTTGTGTTAATAGAAAAATGTATTCGTTATCAATACAATTACATGTTACAAAGAATTTATAATAGCGTTGTTAGCAAAAGTGAAATACACTATTATTTCTGTCTTTTCCATGTTTATAATCATAAAATTATAACTAACTAACTGTTGCCCACGACTCTGTTCTCGCGCAATTAAAATAAAACTTAATTAGTAGCCTATGTGTTCTTCCAGACTATGTTCTATATGTATGCAAAATTTCATCGAGATCCGTTTAAACGTTTTGCAGATACCTTCAAACAAACATCCATTCATCCATCAAATTTTATATTATTAGTTGGATGAGTAGTCATAAGACTAAACGTAAAAACTCTATGACATTTCTTTTCAGACAAAAGACGATAGCCAGAAATAAACCTAACATATCTGTTATTAGAATTATGACATTTTGATGTTTTTGTGCAATTTTTTAAGACGGAAACTCAATTAAAGTGATTTTTTAATTTAATTAGTTTAGTTTATTATTTGATTTAGTTCATTTGAATTGATTGATTGACTTATTTTAAAAACACACTTTTGTTCACAGGTCTCCTTGAAGTCCTCTGTCTATCTTCTTACTGCAGTTAGTAAGTATAACTTGAAATATAGCTTACATACAGACGTACATTTTAATTATAAATATCAAGCTATTCTAATTACCAATGTTAAGATATAAATTTATCATTATACATTAATATTTAATTCATTATTTATGTTCATTTAATACCTTATATACTACGGATTGTATATAAAAGGTCATTTCGCTCACATTCGATCGATTTCTTTACATTTATTATTTTAGAAAAAGTTTAGCTATCGCCCGCGGCTCCGTCCGTATCTTCTTATATATATAGCCACTTTATTTAAAGAATTATTAAAGAGTAGATTAAAGTAAAATATCAGTTAAGTGCGATTATCCTTAGTATGAGAAACTTATACTGAGGGAGGGTCTCCCTTATTGAATAATTAATGATTCTGAGTGTAGCACTTAGTAAGCTTAAAAGAAATTACAATACTTTGATAATAAATATTTATTAAATAAATAAAACTTATCCTATAAAATCGGAATTATACATATTATTCAAATATAAGAAGGCTTCTTTATATAAAAATAATTTAACTATAGTTAATTAAGTTTAACTATAACAATAAACGCAATTACTTATTACATTAGTAGTTAAATAAAAACACAATTTTCAATAGAAATAAATTAATCTCTTAATTCCATGCACTCTACATTTCTTGGCAAATCGCATATCTGAAAAAAAATGTTATTAATTAATACACCACAATACCATGATGAAACAAAACCAGTTCAACTTACAATTGTAAGAAAACAAATAGAAAATAATAGCTAAAGAATTGAATTGAATATTTGATAAAAAATGAAGCAATAAAGGGGAGAATATATAAATAGAAATCGGCTGAATTTATAGGAGTTATAAGGCTAAAGTCCCAATATTAGGGTTATGTTAAATTACTTTATAAAAAGCCTACATACCTGCAATTCCCGGTTAAAATGCAACCAAAAAGGACAACTTTTGACCTCTCTTTCACCTTGGACGCAATAGTAAAACAAATTACAGAAAGTCTCATGAGGCAGCAACCAATGGACCTCAGGATCAACCGGACATCCATTCGGTAGAAACTCAATAACTGGAAGATCAGGCGTTTCAGTCTGGATTTCCTCTGAGATGCTTTCTTCCCCACTTGTATCAGCTTCAGTTTCTTTGATATCTTCTGTAATTTCTTCATCTTTGATAGTACTTTGTATTGGTATCACCTCCTCAGGTTTCGTCTCATTAGGTACAATCCTAAATCCACAATCGACGTTCCCCCTCCAATCGCAAATTCCCTCAATAACGTTGAAATAAAGTCCATCTGGGCATGACATCTCGACAGGCTCCCCGTGTGTGCATTGAATAAATTTGTTGCATTTCCAATGAGGTAATAATAATTCAATATTCCAATCGATTTCTTGTATTTTAGGACACAAATTGAAACCATTGCCTGCAGCGGCAACCGCCAGGAAGAAAACTGCTGTTATGACTGAAAAATAAACATATTTTAAGAATAACTTTATATATCTTTTTAGTAAAAATATTAGGAGTTGTTTTGAGACTTGATAATATGTTTCTTAGCTTTAGGTTTGTTATAGGGTCTGATTCCCGTCAATACTAGAATGCTGGGACTCGATCACTTGATCGTGCCCCAGCGAATCTATCGTCGAACATTTAAGCCCCAATAGTGTTATGAGACTATTGGGGCTTAAATACAGTCCAACCAGCATATGCTTGGACATCCCAAGGAGGAGATTTTTCTCCGCTATAAAGTCTATGTCACCCGAGTTTCTCGCTTATGAAAGTCGTTCGTCGGAAGCGGACAATAATTCCCTTATAGAGGTTTCTCACTTATCCAGGTTAAATTGCATTTTTAAATATTAATTTATTAAAAAAATATTGTTTGTACTTACATTGCATGTTTACTCGGAAGTTTTCAATTGCAATAGATACTGTGTAAGGGTTGAATGCAGTTTTATACCCCGTTTCTTAGTCACTTTCACTTCAGACGTTTAAACTTAAGTTATCGTTCATTTGATTAACAATCATGATAAAGTTATATGTTAATGACTTTGTTAATCGTTTGAGTTCACACAATTATCTTTGCTTTATGTCAGATAGTAGGGTGATGTTCTTTTGATTAGATGACGTGTATGTCATGATATGACACACCTCTTTCTCTATATTTTACCTATTTACGTTGGTGCATGAATATTTTAATATGTTAAGAATCTGTATATTAGAGGATGTTTGAAAGTAGCGCCAGTGATCGAGAAATTGAGGAGGAGGGGGAGGAGAATGCACGAGCATGAGTTGTGTTGGATTCTCCCTGAAGTAGCTTAGGCACATGCTTATAACGAAATAATACATACACATAAATCGGTTTATATACAGTCTTAAATTATTAGTACATTTGGTAACTCTTTGCCGCAAACTGAAGAAATACTTTCCATAATATATTCTAAGAATAAGGTAACAAACGCCAAAGATACTATTTGTACAAATGGAGCTCGGATAACTTTTAGTTAATTCATTCTAGTAACCATGGGTTTTGGAGATCAAAATCTCTGTATAAACATATCGTCATCCTTGTCATTATCTTCGTCAATACAGAGATAAAAATGTTTTAAATGGAGATATTAGTCTCAGAAACCACGGTAAGCTTTGTATTTAACTGGCATTACATTTAGCCATCTGCTTTAGTGAAAAAATGACATACAGAGTTTCCAGATTTACTGTTTTATTTTTTTATTTTCTTAAGGGTCGTCTATTAATCCTTTTTTAGATATTACGGTTTAAACAGATGACAAAGTTGTATTTTTTACCAGCCAGTACCAGATGGTGACCCCGTGAAAAATAATTTATCAGAGCTAAGTTCTAAGAAAGGATCTTAACTTATTTTTTAAAGGTCTGAAGTGAGGGGTTAACGTTTTTATGGATAGATGTTATCCCTTCAGTGAAAATACTTGAGAATGTACAAAAATATAGGGGTTTTTATTTATTGTCTGCTGCCTCCGACTTCGTCTGCTTGAAATACTGTCTTTTAGCTACAAGCTTTCAATATTCCAAACATACACACCAATTTTATTCATATGTATATAATATAATGAATTTTCTATACAAATTTTCAAGTGACCGCACACACAACTATGTCATATATACGTATATATATGACGTCATCAAATTATACTGTAATTTATATTATCGTATCTTAATATATAAAAACGGTAGGCCAACCGACCATCAATATTTTCAGTTTTTAATTTGCCGCGAAATTGAATAAGATATTAAACAAAGATGAAATGAAAACAGGTAAATTAGCTACACACATATTTTTTTAATTCATTTATTTTTAATCGTATAAAGATACAATAATTTTATACTAAAAAAAATAGTAAAACGACATCGCAACAAAACTGTAGCTACTTAAAAACACAGAGGTAACAATCTGTTTTTTTATATAATTTTTATTATGTTAAAGTGTTATATAATCTTTGAATGTTGCGCCTTTATACTTAATCTATGTCAACTTCTCTCTCTGCTATGTTCCTGACAAGAAGTGTTGCTCCGGTGCCTCTCTATAAATCCTTTATAATTCTGCATATAATAATAATAATAATACAATATAGCCCTTTATTCTGAAATTATTAAATATTATATAGTTACAGGTATTCATAAATTGTCCATAATCTCGTGAGCCTCTTGGCATAGGCCTCCTCTAAACATTTCCATTGTTGTCAGTTTTGTGCGACTCTCTACCAATATGGGCCGGCTGCCGTCTTTATATCATCCTCCCATCTCAAAGGTTGCCGATCTCTACTCCTTTTCCCATCTCTCCGATACCATTCTGTTACCGCCTTACACCATTTTGCATATAATAAAGTATAATTATCCACCACTGCAATTTTATTGCAACATATTAAACCAAAACAAAACACAGTAAGGTATAAAGAAAGTATTATAATAAATAATCAAATTCGTTTAAATATATTTATTTTAAATTAAAAACACGATTACTTTTAAATAGCTAATAAGATTAGGTAATTATTGTTAAAGTTAAAAGATTATAAGTTTTACATTTTATTATTCTTCAGTTTCGTAACCGCATTAGTTATTCAGCGAACACTTCTATGCATCCAGAATTCCTCGGCCAATCGCACACCTGTAGGATAAATTAGTTATATTAAATTATTGCTGTATTTTTTCATATGTTAAAAATCAATAATCGTGTTATTTTAACAATTCTCTTCTTACGTTCTCATTATAATTCAAATCCATTAAACAAAAGACGTCCTAGTAACTTCATAACTTAGAGCTTCGGTAACTCAGGGGTTAAAGCACTTCATTTGTAATTTGCAGGTCCTGGATTCAAAACCCGCCATGTATCAATATGTTTTTCGATTTACATATATACATTTATCTGACGTTATTGCAGTAAAGGAAAACATTGTGATGCAACCTGTACATAACTGCGACCAAACCAGCCAGCTAGCGTGGCATGGCCAAGTAACTTAGAATAGGCTCCGAGCCCCTGAGTGGGTACGTATAGTGAGTTGATGATGATGATGATGATGAAACAAAAGACATCTATACCTGAAGCTTTCTATTGAAGTGTAACCAGAATGGACAACGACTAAGTTCTCTCTCTCCATCCACACAATAGTAGAACAAATTGCAAAATTTCTCATTCGGCAACAACCAGTGCACTTCAGGGTCGACTGGACATCCATTAGGCAATAATTCAATTTCTGGTAATTCGGGTTTCTGAGGCTCTATAATTGTATTATTTTTTTCTGGTGATTCTGTAGTTTTTGGTATTTCAAGCTCTATTTCTAGGTCTGGTTTATCGAGTACAACTCTATCGCCACATTTCACGAGGTATCTCCAGTCGCATTTATTCTTGATAATACTGAAGTAGAGTCCTTTAGGGCAAACCATCTCTACTGGTTTGCCGTGGGTGCATTGGTAGAATTTGTTGCATTCCCAGTGTGGTAAAAGCAGTTCGATTTCCCAGTCGACTTCTTGTATTTTGGGGCAGAAATTAAAACCGTTAGCCGCTGTGGCGACCACCAAAAAGACAATGGCTGATAAAACTGTAAAATTATACAAAATTTATTAATAAAAATAACTAATAGTAATTAAATTTATATTTTTTATAATTAATATTTAATATACCTTCCATGATTTCTCACAACGGTTCAATTTGAATTGATATCCTTTAATGGAAGATGGATATTTATATACTAATTATATTAGTCATTTCTATGCGTTAAAATAGAAGTTATCATTAATCCGATGTATAATATAGATTAAAACGAGATGTTATTAACCTTATTTCTCACATACTTTATTGTTTATAATAAAATAAAAACATAGTAAATAAATCTTTGATTCTTAAGGAGAGTGATAGCTATCTAAAATCATATTCGTTTTAAAATTTATTGTGAGTAATCAAAGTAGGCAGTATGTAATTGTTTTGTTGAATCAAACATTTGCAGTATTAAAAACAAAGCAATTTTCAGAGAAACTAGCTGAAAAGTATTCGTAGTGATATCGACAAAATCCACATAGGGCTAGTTGTCGCCCGCGATTTTGTCTGCTCGGGATAAAATCAGTTTAAATACTTGTACCAGTAAAACTGTTGTTCTAAAAAAAAATAGCGTGTGATTTTTTTTAATTTATTTCATTTTACGTAGTAACGTAATTAGTTTAAGAACAATACTTTTGGGAGTGCTTTTGTTTTTGATTACGAGTATATACATAGCTTTACGGTATTTATACACTGAATTATTTCGCTCACGTTTGAATTCCGATCATAACTTTTGTTATCAGAATATTCTAGGACAAAGGATGACTTTTATTTTACAAGATTTACGTCTGTATTATTTTTATCGATGATAGACATTCCCAAGACAAGGCCGGTCATCGTGGCGATCTTTGGGGGAGGCCCAGCAGTGGGCGTCTCATGGCTGAGAAGAAGAAGACATTCCCAAGTTTTTGCTCTTGTATTTGTTCTGTTTCTGCTTCTACTTCTTGCTCTAATGTATACTCCTTCGTTATATTGCAAATTTTGTTTGTAAATTTATAACAATGTACATAAGAAAATGCGTCATCAATAAATCTCTATTGTTTTTACAAAGTACAGCTATCAAAATATGTTGTAGGTTGATTTGTAAACATATATCGGCAAACAAGAGCCTTGCTGATATATTTTTCAATTTAATACGTAGCTCTTTTTATTTATTTTGCACAATTTGCCTTTTCCAGGCGGTGTAGTACACCTACAATCATCAGTCCTTTCTACGTTAAAAGCGTGTAACCGGACTTCTCATGTAAGAACGAAACTTCTAGATGATTATAAGATTCCGTCAGCTATAATTAATTACTAAAATAATACTGTCTTATACTGTCGGTCGCTGCTATATACTGTCGATGGCTAAGGTGTTTAAGCACTTGACTTGCAATCTGCAGGCTTTGGTTCGAATCCCGCTATGTACCAATTTGTTTTTCGATTTACATATGTACATTTATCCGATATTTTTACGGTGATGGAAAACATCGTGATGCAACCTGCATATATCTGAGAAGAAATTCAAAGATATGTATGAAGTCAACCAACCCGTTCTGGACCAGTGTGGTTGACTATGGCCTAGTCACCCCTAGCAAATGGTAGACTCCGAGCGCATCAGTGGGGACGTATCATCAGCTCACCGATGATAATGACTGTCTTATATCATACATACTTTCATTGCATTCACAAGGCACTCAAAATCAGAGTATCATATTTTTTTTTTGCTCATAGACCCGTTTCAGATATGGATTTCAAGACCCACTGCTTCAATTCCCTCAGATACCCAAAACCCATCAAATTTTTGTGAAGATTAGATAGAATGATGTAAAAGGAAAATAATATATTCAGTAGTAAATTTTTTTTTGCCACTAAAGTACTCCAATTAAGTGTAAAGTATACATCCATTTAAAGATCCAAAGATTACAATCCTAAAGTACTAGTTTTTAAATAAAAAAAAATAGTTTTTATTCAAGCCATAGCTTTTCTCCTTAACTAGCATTTTATTTTCTTTAAAGTAAATAATATCCAATAAAGTATGCATTTTATTTTACTAATAATAGAAATATTACTCTTATGTAAATACTAAACAAAAAAGGTAAAAAACTTTATGAATGTATCCCGAATAATAGATTAAAGAAAGTTAGTTAAGCTCAATATTTTTTTAATTATATTTGTTCTTAATTGTTATATTTAGGACATATTTTACTGTATTATTTTTTGTACTAATGTTATTTTGAGTATTGCTTAGTAGTTACTACCTTTACCTTTTTGTAGCTTTATTTTTCTGTAAAAATTTTGATAAGGTGAAAATAAAGAGGATTTCAATTTAATTCATTAAATTAACATTTTATTTCAATAAAAATAAAAAAATAATAATTAAAATACAGTGATAAGTAAATACATTTAAACAAAGAAAAAAGAATGCAAAAATATTATAAAATTAACGTAGCATGTAGACACGCGTAGCATTTCTCGTAGCTGCGAAGTTCTACATTAGTTTCTGTAGATGTCTACACAGCCGGAATTCCGCGGCCAGTCACAAACCTGAAAGGAAACATTCAAATTATTTTATTATTTCTTTGAAAAAGTATAAATATCACTTGATTTTACACAATTTTACTTTTTTAACTGATTTTAACTATAAAATGTATTAATACATTTTTGAAACATTTTTTTAATTATATTCGCTAAATTACCTGTAATTCTCTATTAAAATGTAACCAGAAAGGACAGCGTCTGATCTCTTTCTCTCCTTCTACACAATAGTAGAACAAATTGCAGAACTCCTCATTCGGTAACAACCAGTGTACTTCAGGGTCGACTGGACATCCATTAGGAAGAAATTCAATTGGTGATTCAGGTTTTTCTGTTTCCACAACAGTATTGTCATTTTCATTTCTTTCAGTTACAGATGTAGTATCCGGTTCCTTGGTTACTTCCGGTTTAAATTCTTCCCAAACAATTCTATCGCCGCATTTCACGAGGTCTCTCCAATCGCATTTATTCTTGATAATACTGAAGTAGAGACCTTTAGGGCAAATCATCTCAACAGGTGTGCCGTGGGTACATTGGTAAAACTTGTTACATTCCCAGTGCGGTAAAAGCAGTTCAATTTCCCAGTCGACTTCTTGTATTTTGGGGCAGAAATTTAAGGCGCTTGCCGCTGAAGCGACAGCAAAGAACAAAACTGCTGATATTACTGAAAATAAAAAATAATTTCTGACATTTTCTACATTTTTTTCCTCTTTTCCTTCCCACTCTTTTTTTTATAAAGAAAGGATGGGAAGTGGAAGTGGACTTTCCGCATGAAAGGATGCATGGGAAGGGAAAATATTTTCTTTCTGTGCATCTCTCTTCCGTCGATTAAAGGTAGGCAACACATATGCAATTGCGTATGTCTATGGGCAACGTTCACTTCACTATTTCAGCAATTTCAGGTGGCCGCTCGTTTCCCACCTTATGATATAAAAAATATAACTTAATGTGTTTTAAAATTTGTAAGAAGTAATAAAATTCTGGAAAAAGGATGGACTTCATATCTTAATATTAGACATACCTTTCATGATTTCTTACAACGTTTCAACTGCAATTGATATCCAATAAGGGTTGTATGCAGTTTTATACCCCTTCCTTAGTCGCATTAGTTCGTCTTGTTAGATTATCTTTTGTTTGAAAACAATAAAGATAAGTGTGCTGTTTATTGACTTCTAAAGTGTGTTTATTTCTTTGTATTTGATAAAAATAATAATAAATAGTTCTTCGATTATCTTACCCTTCCCTTATCTATCTTTATCTATCTTTAAGTCTTTAACAGAACTTTCATTACAAATTTCTTTATTTGAATAACACTATAGAAATAAACATAGAAATGGGTTTCAAAGTACGTGGTGCTTTCAAGGTCAAGTCAATTCCTTTACTTCATCCATGAAAATCGTTGGATTTTTTTTCGTTATAAACATATTGCGGTCTCTTTCTATTCAAAGATAATGACAAAATGATTTTATCAAGATTTTTCAATGAGAGTTTCAAACTCTCGGATACTCAAACTTCTTAAGCAAAAGGTATTTAAATACATGTAATTTTAATTTAAAATATATTTATTGCATAAACGCAAGATAATTACAATTGTAAAAATAATGTACAACGAACAAAAATAATCAAATTTACGCATCGTGATATCGCATATTCTCACCGTTGCTTTCTGACACTAAAATCTCTGTATAAAACATATCGTCATCCCTATCATTATACTTGACAAAACAGAGATAACAATATGCTTTAAACGGAGGTTTTGGTCTCAGAAACTCATGGTTAATCTATCACAACTGTCAATTTGCCGCACATTCTGCATTCCGGGGCCAGTCGCACATCTGTTGAAAAATATTAAAAAGTAACAAACAATTATATTATTAAAACTTTTGCGACTGTATATTTTATTATTATATACCGTATACATAATCATTTTACCTATTTTGTTATTACACCAATCCAATAAAACCTTATTTAACCTTTAAGAGCACTTGAAACCGATGTGCTTGTAAACATAGATTTATGAACGTAGAAGAAACAAGAGAGGTGTGTCACCAAATAGAGGACAAGTGTGTCAAGTGTGGATCGCACCTAATAGAGGTCCGTAGTCTCTGTCTACCCCTCTGGGTTACGGGCGTGAGTTATGTTGTTATTGTTGTTGTATTTAACTTATAGAAGCAACAGACAAAAATATGTTTTAGAATACGTGTTTTTACACTAGAAATAGAGGAGACAAAGGGTTGAGAACCTTCTAATTTTTGAATTAAGTACATAAAAATCAACTTACCTTAAGTCGTCTATTGTAATGCAACCAAAAGGGACACCGCCTTAAGTGTTTCTCGCCGTTAATACATATGTAGAACCAATTGCAGTACCTTTCATGAGGTAATAACCAAATCAAGTTATTGTCAGTCGGGCAGCCGTTTTTTAAGAATCCTGTATGTGAGGCTTTCGAAGCATACGGGTAGTCCTCTATTGTAACATTCCTTACAGGGCTCCCTGCAGAGGGCGACACTTCCGACTCCAGGAATAATTCAGAGCTATCCAAACTAAACGAATCGGGCAAAACTCTATCCCCACATTCGACGAAATCTTTCCAATCGCATATATTCTTTATGGTGCTGAAGTAGAGCCCTTCCGGGCACGAAATTTCTATCGGCTCGTCGTTCGTACATTGATAGAATCTGTCGCATTTTCTATGCGGCAAAAAAATATCTACTTCCCAATTAGCCTCGTTTTGTTTGGGACAGATAGGCTCGTCGAGAGTTGCTGATGCTGTAGCAAGAAATAGGATCGCAGTCACTGCAAAAATAAAACATAAGATAATATTATCTTACTTCAAATTTATGACACTTAAAAATATTACTATTCAAAAATATACCTAACATGATATCCCGTCACAATCCTATAAAAGAATAAACGTGACTAAGCCTTCAATGGGGTTTTATATATGTCCATTAGTCACTTAAAACATCTCGTAGTTATGGACTATTGGTACTATAGCTGCATAGCGTCGAGCGCGTTACAATTCTTGTTATGATTTACACGCAATAAGCAAATGTCTGGCCGATGATGAATCGAAGTTTAATTGAGATGGCACGCGTGTGTTTGTATCTTCTATCGACCTTGTTCTATTCACAATAACCCCTTGTCGTATGAACGACAAAGGAGCCGCGGTAACACATTCAGTGCCGCGAACTCTTTCAGTGAATTCAGTAACAAGTGCGTCTTAGTATGTGAAAATCGTAGTGGCATTGGTAGTGTTAAAGGGTTTGTCTTCATAATCCCCTATTGTGGGACCATTGAACACCAGCTTTAGAATAACAAATCTTGGTGGCCGCGGTATCTTAGTGTATATCTGATGCTCATGTGACCATAGTGATAATAAAATGGTCGAACCATGATGATTTATTAAATATTTTTACGATTTTTACGACTCGATATTTGTGCTGAGTCGCGGAGCATTTCCGCGTTTGTTATTCGCTTAGGACAAAAATTAAGTTAAATGAAAACGGTTTTATAAGTGTACATATTGGTAAGTCACAATCACTGTTTTTTTTATATTTTCAAAGTTTTAAAATCGATTCATTAAAATATATTATTCATCGATTCATTCAATCGATTGAATTGTTCAATAGTATTAGTATTATCTAAATTATTTTATTTAAGTGTTTCCCTCCTTCAATGACTTCAAAAGCACCGCCGTTGATGATTAATCTTTATGTTATGGTCATAATGGTCATTTATACTGGCAATTTTAAATGATATCTTACTTCTTGCTAATCTTATAAATGCGAATGTTTGGATGGATGGATGGATTTTTGTTTGAAGGTATCTCGAAAACGGCTGAATGGATCTCGCTGAAATTTGACACAGATGTAGAACAAAGTCTAGTAGAACATATAGGCTACTATTTTTTTTGTTATCGCGCAGACGGATTCGCGGGCCACAGTGCCATAAATATTTCTTAACTAAAGTTAGGTTTTTTTTTATAATAACCACTGGTTATACAAGTAATTAATCAAACTCTCACTGCATAATTTGTTCGTTTAAAGTAGTCGTAAGAAATGTGTTTAAAATTCGTGTAAACAAAATGTTTAGTGGAGGAAAAAGATGCAAAATTTCAAAGAGTTTTCTCATGGTAAAATTCTTTTTAAATGGTTTTTAAGCGTGAAACTGGAACGACGACAATGCAATGTAAACGCAGAGGATTTTTGTAAACAATACGCAATGAAAACGTCTAACACGACTTTGTGGAATCTTTCAAATCTTTTAGTATCATTTTACAAGAATTTACTGTAATATTTTTTATATTTTTTTTATTTACCTTACATTTCTTAACTTACTTGAATTTCACGATGACCAACAATAAGTAACAATGTTTCATATTTCATTAAATAAATTATCAATTGTTTCGTAGTGTTTTTAAGATTTAGCGTAACTTCCCAGTGCCTTAAACACAAAGACAACTATTTGCATCCCTAGCATTTGTTTTAAAAAATATAACTAACAAGTTCTTTCTCATTAAATGGACCTTTTGGTAGTTTGGCTTTTTAGAAATACATGTTATAAGAATTTAGTATATAAAAATAAAACTTCTATTATTTATTTAATCAGTTATATATTAAATTTTGAAATATAATATAATTTATTAAAGCTAATCGAAATAAATTTATTTGCATCGTTTTAATTTAGAAAATAAGGTACAATGATCTTCATAGTTTCTTCGTCTAAAGGCGGCTTAATTTAAAAATATAATGTTCTTAAATTGATAAATTATTTTCGCATTAAAATGCGACGTCCAGACACATGCTTGTTGAAGGACTTAGCACAACACGCACTCATTGGAAGATCGCATACCTGTAAAAAAGGATATTTAGAAATCAATAAACATTGTCATAAAGTTAGGTAATTTTTAAAGGCTTTGTTAACTTTATAATAGCTATTTCAGTACAACATCAATATTTTTTTTCTTCTTATAATATTTTCGCTATTCTGGTAGTTTTACGTTTCCATAAATCAAAAATTATAACTCATTCCTTATGAAATTTTAAGGTAAGTAAGTAAGTTAAGAAAATAGTTCAAAAGAAGCCTACCTGAAGTCTGCTGTTAAAGTGCAAGGGACCGAAGCACTGTTGTTCGATTTTGGCACCATTCACGCAATAGTAAAATTTGTTGCAATCTTTCTCATGAGGCAAAAGCCAATGTACAGTCGGATCAATTGGACATCCATTTTCCAAAACTCCTGATTCCGGTACATCCTTGCCTGGTAAAGCGCAAATATCAACATCTTCATTATCATTGCCATCACCTTGTCCTTTATCATCATCATCTCCTCCATCATTCTCTCCGCTGTTTGGTTTATCATCAGGAATATTTCTATCGCCACAATCTACGTTATGTTTCCAATCGCATATTCCGCGTTCCTGATTGAAGAAGAGACCGTCAGCACACGACATCTCAATCGGAGACCCGAAGGTACATTTGTAGAATTTGTTGCACAATTTATGTTCCAAAAGAATATCCTTTTCCCATGTCAATTCTTCGCCTTTTGGGCATTGCTTAGACGCGTTGACTGCGACTATTGCGGTGATGATAATTGCTACAACTAAAATTAAAGATTAATTTTCTACAATTTTTTTTTATATCATAAGGTGGCAAACGAGCGAGCGGCCACCTGAAATCGCTGAAGTAGCGAAGTGACCGTTGCCCATAGACATACGCAATTGCATATGCGTTGCCTACCTTTAATCGACGGAGGAGAGGATGCACAGAAAGAAAATATTTTCCCTTCCCATCCATCCTTTCATCTGGAAAGTCCACTTCCACATCCCATCCTTTCCTTATAAGAAAAAGGGTGGGAAGGGAAAAAGGACTAAATTAGGCCTCCGGGACGCACACTCATCAGACGAAACGCGGAATTACTTCCACTTCACGCCTGTCTTCTGTGTGGTCGTGGTATTTCACCGGGCGAGCCGGGCCAATTCGTGCGAAAATGTTAAAGCGGGCTCTACCACTGTTAAATTTTTAACAAATTAACCAATAAGAATTGAACATACCTTTCATCTTTGGTCGAATGCAACAGAACAATGGGATAGATGACATCGAGTGAAATAAATACGATTAAATACCCGAAGTCGTATCATTTTTCTCGAAATCAGTTTAATCTTATTTTATATCAATCGAAAATAAATTGATTTAATCAATAACATTTAACGATCTTTTTGATTAAACGTTGATATAAAGTTAGTTTAATATCTGATGATTTTCAAGGGACTTTGAAATTACGTTCATAAAATAACGATACTTAAAAACTACGTAAATCCTTTAAATTTAAAAACGAGAATTTTCATTTAAAAAAGTAAATAACTATTTAATTATCATTTTTGTTAAACCTTCCTTCACGCATCTTTCTATAAAAATTACAAAATATATATTAACTGTCATAACTAAACAATAATATTTAATGTCACATAGAAAATAAATCATATTCATGGTAACTATAAAGTCCATGTCTACAGGCGATGTAGGTCGGAGTATATAGGGTGTATTTTGGCACAGTTTTCCTTAGCGAGGCGCCCGACAGTCCGGCGCCTTCTCCCATGGAGCATTGAAACTGTTCCCAGTTGATATTCAGACGTCCCAAGATCGCCCGTATCTGTAACTGACAAAAAAACGTCTAAAAATATGTAGAAGTGTTTCTTATAACCAGAGAAATGTATTTAAAAATTATAATAATTTTATTTTACCTTCAAATAGTAATTAAATGTGATGCAACTAAAGCTGAAAATTTGGATAATATAAAAAAAAGTTTGGAACAACATCAAAAAGAATTAACTGTGGTTAAAAATAAAACTAAAATACAAGCAAAAGAAATAACTAATGTTGTGAAAGTTCCGTTAAAGTCTTCAGTGCGTTTGGACAATGCTAGTAAGAAACCTAAAATGATATCAGTGAAACAGTATGTTATTTAATTATATTCCTTTTATTTTTTCTATTAGAAAATAATCATATTTTCAATCGAGAATATTTAAAATAAAACACCCTTTATTTTAATTATTATTACAAATTAGTAATAATAATAAAAATAATAATAAAAAACTTTATTGCCATAAAAAAAACTGAACAAAATTATACAACACACTGTTATACAGAGATAGTGCTGGCAAAAGGGGGTGGCTCAGCTTTGCCAACACAGGTCAAATTCCAGTGTCGAGCTGGTTTTCAGCCACCCCCCCTTCCCAAGATGAAAAAGGGGGAATAGATAGTAGATGGTCGCTGTACACTATTCATAAAGTTAAAAATCAGAAACTAACAAATTATTACTTAATACTTAATGCGTTTAACATATTCGAACAGAAAATTAAAAGACACAATTTAAGAAAATGAAACTGTTAAGTAAGAACAATATATAATATTTCAACCAATAATGATCCTATTACTCTTGTTTATATGTAGGTAGTTTTTTTCCTTTTAGCAAGCACCAGCTTTCCGATGTGTGTGCGTGTGTGTGTGTGTGTGTGTGTGCGTGAGTGTGTGTGTGTGTGCGTGTTTGTGTGTGTGTGTGTGTTAGTGTGAGAGTGTATGTGAGTCTGGGTTTATGTATGCGTGTGGTAATGAGTGGTGTTTGTGTTAACGAACCTATGTGCTTAGTACAATATGTATGTACTGGATGTTTTCTTTATTTATGCATTACAAATACTCTTTCAGACTAAGGTGTTTCCAGTAGGAAAGTTTTATATTTTCTGCAGCAAGTTGACGCTTCAGCAGCGCCAATTTATATTTTCGTTTAAAGCTATAGATGTTCAGTATAGTAACAAATCATATGATGCGTTTATAATATACTTAAAAATAATAATCTCAAATCCTAAATGCAATGAAATTATAACTCGTTTGTACATCCTGTATATGACGGTATGGGCGAGTTCACTAATTTGCTGTAAACAAAAAAAAATAAACTTACCTACTGTTTCATTTCATAGCGTAATGAGTTTATACAGATGTACTTTTATTGTAAATTTGTATATTGTTCCTTGTTTATATAAATAAAATAAATAACTAGCTGTCGTCCGTCCGTTCACGCGAAATAAAAAAAAACCTTAATTAGTAGCCTATGTTCTTCCACGCTACATTTTACATTTATGCCAAATTTCTGCGAGATCCATGCATCTGTTCGAAAGATAACTTCTAACAAACATCCATCGAGTATTAAAATATAAATGTTAGATTAATATTTGAATACATAGAATAAATTTAATTAAAAAAAACATAGAAAGAAAGAAATCAGTCATTTACTTTCGTTTATTGTTAAGACATTTATATTAATTGAATGAATTTAAAATAATAAATCTTTACAGACTACAAGAATGGGCTAAAGAGATATCAGATAAACTGTTAGACCACGAAAGTCAGATAGTAAGACGAGATTTACTTTTGAAAGGGTTCACTAACTTAAAAAGTGTACGTCGCAATGGCTCCGAGATCGTGGACCAAGCGGCTACAGCTTTAAGTGACCTTTTATCTAGAAGAGCAAAAGCCGCTGAAGCAATAATGAGGAAAGCAGAAGAACTATCAAAGAAAAATGTACCTCCACCACCAAATTATACGTATATGCAAAGTACGGTAAGTGAGTAAGATTTAAACTGATTGATGCTTTTAATTAAAAATTGTATAAAAAAAAACAGTAGAGCCAAGTATGTAAAAATCTCAATTCCTTTCAGTCATTAAAAAGTTTTAAACTTGTGCTCTTTCATATTAATTGTAACCTAGTGGTTTCAAGAACAATAAATTGATATGATATATCATCATCAGCTCACTATACGTCCCCACTGAGGGGCTCGGAGCCTACCCTAAGTTAATTTCTTCTCAGATGTGTGCAGGTTGCATCACGATGTTTTCCTTCAACGTAAGAACGTCGGATGAATGTACATATGTAAATCGGAAATCGAAAAACACATTGGTACATGGCAGGCAGAACCCAGGACCTGCAGATTGCAAGTCAAGTGCTTGAGCCCTAAACTACCGACGCTCGTATGATATATATGAATGATAAATGCAATATTTTTTTTATTTGGCAGAATCTGGATCAATACAAAAAAGAGGATACAGAATGGAAAGAAGATCGTCGAAACTTTACATTCCCGTTAAACTGTAGAAACCTAAATAAAGTAAATTTGTACAAAAGCAAACATTTCGATGCTAATGTATCTTTGGACACAAGTAGCGTGCATGTTGCCGTAGAAGTTTTTGATTGCGGTAAATTGATATTTCTTCACTCTAAGATAAAGTTTTCCACCGTACAGCTGAATATGCTTAAAGATCTAATACTAACTAATTAAAGGGACAGCAAATCGTTTCGTCAAACACTAGTATTCAAACAATTATGTAACTTCTCTTACAGATCCTAAAATACTAGAACATCTACATTGGTCAGAAGGTCTGATATCCACTTTCAAAGAGAATTACGTCCGTGATGCTACGTTAGACTTTCAATACATGTGTAACGCTAAAGGATTTTTAAGACATTACCCAGGTATGTTCCCATAATACTCCTAATACTCGATAGTACTAATCTTAGGAAATTATACAATAGGTTAGGCATATCTTATAGGGGCCGCGGACGAGAGCGAAAGCGTGCCCGTGGCCCCGTCCCGATGCGTCAGAGGGCAGTCAGGTTTTAGTGGGTATTCTTGTCACCTTCTGTGGCCGGCGAGTCCCACACTCCCTACGCCATTGCACCGCCCGGCGTAGGCGTAAATGTAAATGTAAAAAAATGTAAATGTGTAAATGCATTTCCTGACTATAAAAAAAAGGCATATCTTATAGGTTACCTATTATGGTAACCCCGGTATTGATTAAGAGTACTTTTAAAAAGTCCAACAGATGCAGCAGTTCTTTTTATTACTGCTAATTGTTACCAGCATTATTTTAGCTATTGTTTTTTCCAGCGGCATTATGGGACACCATGTATAAACTGAAGTTAGACGTAGAAGATATATACGACTGTCGGCTGCGTCCCTGGTACGTCAGCGCCAGCGGCGCACCACGAGACATACTCATTCTACTCGACGCGTCAGGCTCTATGACTAACTCATCCAATCTGGTAAGTAGATAAGATTACATTGATAACTTAAACATTAATTGTCCTAAATGAGTCATTAATAGTAGTACATCCCTTAGTGTAGATTTAGTTCTCATACAAAAACTATCAGGAATCCATGAGTAGTCACTTAGTGGTTTGTACAGTCAGTCTTTCTAGTTACCCTCAATGATAATTTATTTGTGTTAAAACGGATCTCGCTATGGTAACAATAATGTAAATAGTAGAGAATATCAGAGATCCAAACTAATTGGTTACTTTGTGTATAGCTTGTTGCAGAACAATTAACATTGGCTTTACTGAGCGCTCTGACCGACGACGACCAGGTTAATGTTCTACGCTTCAACGTGACCGTGCGCTCGCCAATCACATGCTTCAATGACAAACTCGTCTCGGTGAGTCTAACTTGCTCCAATTTTGCTTTGAGAGAAGATGAATATATTGTTTAAATAGTAGTCCCTAGGATAGACCGAAATTCTCTTCAAAACTCAAGAACAGGAAATCTGAATAAGAAATGGATCATGAGGAATTCACTTTAGTCTAAATTATTTTTTCTATACTTGCCAAATTATTCAAAAAATTAATAAACTAACTGCATTGAAAAGCGTTCGTTATACCCACAGGCAAATCACGTAAATTCTGCAGCCATAATGGCGGCTTTAGCTCACTTCAAGATGTGGAATGAGACGTGGATGGGAGACGTTCTTGAATATTCGGTGCGTCTACTACAGAAACAGCGCGGGACTCCGGACCGACCTCCATCTTGTCAGCAGGCTATTGTACTGCTTACTGACAGCCTGTACGATAATTATACGCAGCTGCTAAACCATCTTGATCCTGAAGGTCGGATAAGGTAACACATGTAATTTAGTACCATGATTAAGTCGCATAAAACTTTTGCTTTTTCAAATGGAATTAGCTCAAGTTGTAACATTTTAGGATCCAATCTATGTATCATTTTGTTCTTCTATCTTCAACAATTTGTAGACTATTCGTAATGTGGCTGCACGATCCGTACGGCTTACGTGATGACACGAGGGGCTACGGAGAGACACTGAGCTGTGCTCGCGATGGTTACTACGCGGAGTTGATTACGGCAGCTGACGTCACGGAGCAAGTGATGAAAATTCTGCGCGTGTTGGAGCGCCCTCTGGTAGGGCAGAGGGAACAGCGCCTTACCGTCTACAGTGATGTCTACGCTAATATTGAGGTCAGTATTAATTACAATCAGTAAGTATCGTATGAAGAATTCATAATAATTTGCTAAAAAATGGCGAAAACATCAAAATGTAATTTTACTGTATTGATTTGAATTGACTATAAACCCTTTTGGCCACTTAACATTACATGTAAAAAAATTATTTAGACATCCTTATGACCTACATTTGACAAAAAATGATAAGGTGTACAAAATTGAATTCGTCGTTTCAAAACTTTTGCTTTACCGTGAGTTTTTGACACCAAAATTTCTCTTTAAAACAGATCGCCATCTTTAACAAAACAGTAATAACAGCATGTTTTAAATGGGGATTTTGACGTCAGAAACCCACGATAACAGATATATTAAGAATGATGATGAAATGTGTCATTTTGTTTAATTATAATTACAGGACCCTAGAAGAGGAGAGTATTATTGGAAGCAGAAGGAAAATGCCGAACAAGTGTACAGATACAAACTTTTGCGTAAAAACAAAAAGAAGTTACTCAATCAATCTCAGTTATACAAAGACTACCGACGACAGTTAAGTCTGGTAAGTTATTTCAAACAGTTAATTTCCTCTAGCAACCGCAAAGGAGATAGCGTTATCATCATAGAATAATAAACCTATAGATATCTAATTCGCTTCAAAGAGCGTCGATGACTCAGGGGTTTAAGCACTTGACTTGCAAGCAGATCTTGAGTTCGAACCCCACCATGTACCAATGGGTTTCGATTTACATGTGTACATTTATCCGACGTTCTTACGGTGAAGGAATACATCGTGATGCAAAATTTTCGCGGGTTAAAAAAAATTACTAATACTGTCGCTTTTGCTCTTAATTTCAGGATGAATACGGTTATTATTACGAAGGCGAAGATTTAAATTATCGTCTTCTAATCACTGTCTCCGTACCAGTATTCGACCACACTACATTAGAAGTAAGTAACCAACAACAGTAAATACGTAAAAAAATCCATATATTCTTCCAATCTCAATATATCCTTTCATTTCTATTAATATTAACAATTATATAAAATTTTGTCTTCTAGAGTTTTTGGTAGTAAGCTATTTAAAAGCAAAAATAACAGTAGGTTACAAGACTTATGGGATTTTATTAATATTAATTGTTTACAACCCATAATACATGACGAGCAAATAAACACGCACTAATGTACTACACACTCCTATTCGTACTATCATTCTTTTCTACGAATTAATCTATCAGATTATATAATGACATAACAAAAACAAATTGATTAAATTGTTTTATATACTGTTATTAATCTTCCCAACAAGTGCTATATTAATCGGTTATCGCAAGGAATTAAATCTATCACAAACAAAGAGTTAATTCTTCGTATAAATATTTCATAGAAATGTCTTTATCAGTGAATAAGTATGCATTTTCTATTAATTGTTAATTTTCCTTAAAGATTCTTAAATATTAGTACGAGGTTTTTGAACGCTGCTGTCAACCCAATCTTTTGCCAGCGTTTCTCATTGGAAATTATTTTAGACCATAACTTGGCTAGAAATCAAATAGCTTATTATTGTAACTTAGGTTTGCCGCCACAAATTTGCTGCTATGTATTTAGTGTTACACGCCCGCCTATACCTTCACTTCCCTCGCCTTGAACGTATACAAAAAAACCGATACGACGCGGGTAGATATTGTCTATTGGACGCAAAGTTTGTCTTATGGCCAAGACAGCCCAAGAACGATCCACATAGTGTTTTACCCAAGTCAAAATCTTGTCCAATGTGAAGTGCCGGCAGTAATTTCTAGTAAATATTAATAATCTAGTCATTTTTTTATTCCAGAATATCACAATCAAACTAGACGAGGTAAATATATAAACTAATTTTATCAACAACAAATAATAAAATATTTCGAAACTGTACAAAATGTCTATTTTCAGGAAAAACAAAGAAACTCTACACGAACGGTAAGATTTATTTTACTTTTCTTTTGATCGCAAAAATAAATATAAATTTATAGATATACAATGAATTTTTATTTATTTATTTAAGCTTTGTACACAGTTTAAAGTACATAGTGTAACATTACATAGAAATACAGTGATGTACATACAGTTGAGCTTAACTCTAAAAGAGTTCTCTTACAGCTAACGTTGCGATACAGAGAGGATGTGTAGTGGGTAATAACTGTATTTGTACAAGAATTGTACACCTTCATTATCAAAATAATGAGCAGAATCATGTATAATTCTATAAGATACACATTATCAATCTATTTCCAGTACCCTGTGAATAGACTGCTCGGCGTGGCTGGTGTCGATATACCTATTGACCATTTAAAACTATACGTACCATATTACCAGGTAAGTATAAACAATAAAGTTAAAAGAGCTACAAAGGTAGAGAAAAACCCAAGTACGAATATTATATCTTAAATAGTGTGTTAGAGAGTGGATTCCGATGACGACTCATAGAGATTTATGGAAGACTGTGCCGACTCTTCGTCTGTAAAGGCAGGTTACTCAATGATGACTACGAGGTAAGTATCCCCAAGTTTAACGAATCCCCGTTTATCCCGAGAATCCGGTACAAAAGCTTCGATATTAATATCACGTTAAACGGAAGCAATGCGTTTTATTTTTTTTTAGATAAATAATATTCGTGGCCAGATAACAGTTCGAGTGCTTTGATTAGAAACTGAAGGACGAATGTTTGTTTAGTTATTAATTTTAAATAAATGTTCTCTTTACCGTTTGTAATTAAGACTAGAATTAAGATTTTTGTTTTAGCTTGGACCTGCAGGATCATTTATTCTCCTAGACCATCGAGGCAGTATTGTGATACATGATAATTTAAAGCCAGTGGTAAGCCAGTAGCCTGGATCTACTTCCTTAACTAGTTAATTGTACTTTGATGTAGTTAATTTCTTCTCCAATTTATATTAAATTATATATTCTATTTTTTTAGTTTGACGGTGATATATTAAAACCAGGCTACCGTACTGTGGATTTTTTAGACTTGGAACAATCCGCAGCTGATCATTTACCAAGAGAATATCCTAAAGACTGGATCGAGGTAAGATTTTCAATGAATAAACTAGCAGTTATAACTCAGCTACGATATAAGGTCCTTTAAGAAGCGAGCGTATCACCATCTCAAAGGCCGGCAACTCATCTGCGGTTCTTTTGGTATTGCTGATGTCCATGGGCATCGATGAACACCTCGGAGTTCCCACTGAACGTTTGCCCCCTTCTCTTATAAAAAAAAGTTACCACGATCCCACCTAACAAGTAATCAAAGACGATCGTCCTTTGTTTTCCGTAGTCAGTAGACCTAGGTTTATTAAAAGTTGGTATCTCCAACTCCTAGTACATGATTTAGGCTAAGGTGCGGTTGTGAAACTACACAGGGAGCCTGACAGTAAGGGGTAGCCTAATTCTGAGAAATACGCAGTAGAAAGCGAATATATACTATCCATTAATGATAAATACTATATCGCAATGAAAAATTTCCAAATGATTATAAGTGTCTGGAAACGATAAGGCCGATAAAAACGTCACACATTAGAAACATTTATTAAGATTAGCTTTGGCCCGCAACTCCGTCCGCGTTAAGTTAAAAAACGTAGTAGCCTATGTCCTACATCTATGTCAAATTTAAACGATATCCATGCAGCCGATCTGGCGATACATTCAAACAAACATCCATCCAAACATTCGCATTTAATTAATAAGAGTAAGACACAAAATAGATTGTAAATAATGAATCAGTGCAAAACATATTTTTATCAATAATTAATAGTTAAGATACTATTAGTTTTATACTATTATCTAATAAATACATAACTAATTTAGCTAATGTCATTATTATTTTTAAGCTGATTTAAATAAAAGAAATCTAAAACTTATTACACTTTAATCCATTGATTCTAATTACTTTAATTCATATTTACCTACATTTAAGCATAGTTAATAAAAACTTCTTGTATAACTAGCTGTCACCCGCGACTCTGTCCAAACGTCATTGAAAAAAAACTTGATTAGTAGACTATGTGTTCTTCCAGACTATGTTCTACATATATGCCAAATTTCAGCGTGATACGTTGTGCCGTTCCGGAGATACATTTAAACAAACATCCTATACCTTCGCATTTATAATATTAGTAAGATAAATGGAGAACTCAACCATTACACCACGCTATCACTTAGATTTAGAAAGTTAGTTATAAGAACAATTAATATCTAACTAGCGCCAAACTATTCAATGCGTCTTCTTCTTCGTTGCAGTCTTTTCAGACTGGTCGTGGTTATTAAGTGTCAGCGACCCGCTTTACCAGGCGCCGCCACTCCTCCCTAGTCCCTGCCTTTTTAGTACATTGGTGTAGGGGGACATCTACAGCCGCTCTGATTTTGTCGGTCCAATGTGTATTAACATGCTTTGAATCATTTTAACAATTTAACAATTATTTAATTTTCAGTTCAGAAAAACTCTTGTACTCGATCAACATGAGGGTAATAAGACAATGTACAGCAAATATATTTACGATGAAGGTATGCGAGCGTTGTTAGAGACGCAACAGTACCATTGGAAACGTATTCTAGAACATTATACGGCAGTGGTGATACTACCTAATAAAGAAGGCAGGCATGCGGTACCAAACACAAAGCGATTCACGCAGCAACTAGCTAAGGAGGCGTACAAGACGTTGTCGGAGACGGATTTCTGTACACATCCTGATTGGTAATAATTTTATTACTGCTAATTTATTTTACTAACTGTCGCCCGACGGAGTTAAATTAAAAAAAAACTTATTTTGTAGCCTTTGTGTTGTTCAAGGCTATGGTTCTACATCTATGCTAAATTTAAGGCAAGATCCATGCAGTCGTTCTAGAAATACCTTCTTACAAACATCCATTCATTCAACCAAACATTTGCATTTACCAATAGCAGTAACATAGGATAGATTATAAAAAAATCTTTTGTTACATTTTATTTACTAATTACTGATTCCATTGTCTATTTTTAAGGTTATACTGTCAGCACGTGGAGCCACAATTCGATTCGCAAAAGGATGAGATCTTGTACTTCATGAAGCGACGGAAAAATGATCCGAATTTTCAAATGCAGAATCTCAGACATAGCTTCTCGCCAATACCACCAACATTACAAGAAAAACCTTATCAATGTAAGTTAACATAAATAAAAGAAGTTTTGGCCGCATAAAATTAAATTTTTCAAATAATCTGAGTTCTTAGTATTCAATTAATTGTACAGAAAATTGAGAGCAATTGATATTGAAAGAATAATTTTTCTGAAAACAAATTTTAAACCTACCCTACAAGCCATTCAAACTCACTACAAATTCAATAGAAAAGACATAGGTCACTTGATCTAATGGCTTCTTTTCCCAAAATAAAAAAGAACACGAAAACTCAAAAAGTATGTCGTTGTTTAGGTAACGAAGAACTAATGGCGCGAATATCAGCGGAGGCGATAGCAACAGCGCAATGGTCGGAGATAGATGAGGACCAGGACTGCTCCACCTGCCAGCTCGGCTCCGTCATCGCATTCTTTGCCTGTGGTATTCTAATTATAATTACTAACAACGAGATTCCACTGCCGAAACACAATCAGAACATTTAGTAGACTGTCTTTTGGTTGACAAACGTATTTCGGAAGAAGAAGCTCGTGGTAAGAGAAAAGATTTGTTCGTGGGGTTTAAAATCAAGACATTTTGTATAATTCTGATTGACACACGATATTACGTCCTCAAATTATAACTGACTTTATATTTGACTTTTTAAATACTGTTGAACAGAGAGTGGTCTGACCCGATGGCAATACTACGAGGCGACGAGCCCGCACGCGGTGCCCCCGACGGGCGCGGCGTGGTCGCGGGGCGCCACCGAGCCCTGGTTCACGCGCGCAGCTGCGCATGCGCCCGCGCTCATCATACACGCGCCTTTAGCGCCCATTCGGCGTTTCCGCAACACTGGCATTCCGCAACCACAAGTATGAACTTTCGAGCAAGTTTATATTCAACATAAATTTTGTATAATTTAATTTAACGCTCACAATATCCCAGGTAAGTGAGCATCAGATGTGGCTGACGGCAGCACGCGTGCTCGACTACGGCATCAAGGGCATGCTCGGCGTCGCCGGCTTCCACTTCTATCCCAGACATCTCGACGACCTGCTCAAAACTGTCACTAATATACATGTAAGATTATGTACAATAGTACGTATATATTTACTTTATGTGGACTTGCATGATCAAACAAGAATTGCCCAAGAAAGACTTCGGATTAATTAAGCAAACTGTAAAACTTTTGTAAAGTTTAAGCTCAAATATCTATGTATTCATTCAAAAAATGTTCAGTGTTAAATAGACATTTTTTTCCCAGACGGAAAGGTTTCTAAATAGAATAATTAAAATCAGTCCATGAAATGTTTTCTATAGTGTCCTGAAGAAGACGAGAGTAAATGCGAGCCTCGCTGCGACAACAAGGATTGGTCGTGCGTACTTATAGACGAGGAGGGTTGGATCGTGTCTAAAGTGCGTGAGGATTTGGACGATGACATAGAAACGGAACCATTGAGAGATCACCTCGCGAATGTGCATCCCGCGGCGATGGCAGCGCTACTCAATGCGAGCGTGTTTAAACTACACTGGATACATGACTACCAAGGCGTCTGTTTCCCACCGGAAAATGAAAAAATACGTGCCGCTGCACCTGTAAGTGTGTTATATCACATGTAACTAGATAAACAAAGTGTGTATATCAAATTTTACGTGCCTGATAAATTATTTGATAATATAGACTTAGCTGTTTGAAATGTTTGATGAATAGCTTGATCAAATAATATGAATAAAAAATGGTCTGTCAGCTAAGGAGATTAAAGATTAATTGGTAATTTAAAATCAATTATAAGTAAGTTACAGATTTTGTCTGCGACTTTTCCTGCACATAATTGAAAAATCTAGTACCTAATTATAGGTTATGTTACTTAGTCATCACTAAAGAATTTTTGAAATCGGTCCAGTAATGTTTAGTTTACTTGTTACATACAAAAATACCAATCTTTTCTGAAATTAGTATAAATAAAATGATTAATTTATTTTAGTCTTTACCGTCGATCCTGCGTTCATTGTGGCTTTCAATTAAGACTATCTTCCACATTAGTAATGACTTTGCCACAGTCCTTTTACTAAGCACTGGTAAGTAACCTAATTTATTTTTTATTTTCGAACATTTTATGTTAAATATCGTTCATTTATTTCCCTTTATCTCTATTTAGTATGAATTAAGACATTTTATTCTACAGGTAAGAGCGTGACAGCAGAAACAGAAGCAGAGAAGATGAAAAGACACAGACGCGTGCAGAAAGATTTCGAAAGAGAGAAATACGAGCGATTGTACGATCGACGCGTGCTTGTCAATAGAACACGGTTCGCGGCCTGCGATCGTTCTAGACCTATCTATCAATTGCAGGTCCATTATCACTTGTCATTTTAGAACTTCATCACGCAATTCGATAGAGATTTCTTTGAATTTACTCCGCATATATTAAGTTTCATGCGATGTTAAATCACCAATGCTTAAAGACTTCTTCCAGGCGACTTAAAGATACTTTTACGACTTAGGGGCCTTCATGAAAAGAACGTACACCACCTTAAAGGCCGGCAATGTATCTACGGTTCCTCTAACCTTGCGGATTATCCATGTGTATCGGATCAAATGATTTTAAGCAATTCGTTGCTCGTTTATCCCCTTATAAAAAAGGCGTATGAAAGAAAAGAAGATAGATGTGATAATGTTTAAACGAAGTGTACATAGCAATGTAATTAAGTTAAGTCCCTAGATTATAAGAAGTTGTATTGTTTTTAGCGTACAACAAAAGCAATGGAAGCTTTGCGTCGTAGTGCGCACGCATGTCGCTGGCCGTTAGCCGCCGCGCCCGTACCCGCAACTAATTTGATCCTGTTAGCCGTGTACAACGCCTGTCCATACCCCGGAAGACCGCTCAACAACCCACTGACCAATGAAAGGGTATTTACACTATGTATAGTAAATTAAATTGTTAATAGGTGAATCGTATGTAAATGGTTAATAAACAGACACGCAGTCTTCCTAAATGTAATTAATAATAATTATTGTGCAATGTATTGATCGATTAAATTGCATTTAAGATCGATATTAGATTAGATTTCAGATTACAATTGATTGCATCTCGGAGTAAGACAGGTTTCCGCGGCGTTCGCTTTCAACTTTTATAGATGTATCGGCACCGCTGATTTATCATTTATAATTAATATAGCATTCAAAATCCTTTCTAAATAAAGTCGAGTTTTTTATCATCAAACATTAACTATTATTTGGTTTGACTGTCATTACTTATCTCAGTTTCTGTTTCGAAGAGCTTTTAACATAAATAATTATTCAATGCCATTCTGACAGAGTATTTTTTTAATGTTGACAGGTGGAGATGGCGGACGGTCGCGCAGGTCTGGAGCCGTCAGCGAGCCGGCTTGCATGCTGGCGTAACCGGGTACCTCTGCCAGGCCGCCCGCCTCACGTGCAATGCTTCCCACACAACTACTCATATGTATGAACTCTGGATGTACTTATCTATTCATTCAACGGCAGTCATATAAAAGAAATTAAACCGTAACTTTTAGTTTTTTATAGACTGGTTTTACAATACAAGCAATATGACTAGTTAGTAAAATTGCTATTTTTTCCCCACAGGAAGAGGGATACCGACAATGTGGTCCCTGGCTGCCAGATCCAGAAAATAATGCGAGGAATCATTTCATATCAAAAATTCTTATTTTCTTAGCTTGTGTTATTTCATTGATTTAAGTAAATTGGTAATTTAAAAGCAATAACGTTCAAATAGCTTAGCTTTAATATTTTATTTCTAGTCTTTCAAATGTTTTATTAACAAAAATATACCAAAGTTTTAGATATTTAGAACTATTATACTTTTTTATTTTTTTTTGTTTGTGCCCTTGAATGAAATAATTGTGTTAAAATAAATTAATAAAAACAACCACGCGTTGACATCTTAATTTCTTTAATTCAGTATATTTGGTTCGGAAATGCCTATTTATACGTGACAACAAGACAGACAGATCACATAATTGTTTACATCACATTTCCTTAAGACTTACAATAAAACTGTGAATGAAAAAAACACCTGGAACGATCCTAAATTTACAAAAAAAAACAAACATGGTAACATTAAGAACTGTCAAAGTTTAATTAGACTTAAAGCAAAAATACTCATACAAACACATTGTGACATTATAATACCTCTAGATGTAGTTTTTTAATACAAAATGAAAAGAAAAATAACTAAAAAAATTGTTAAAACGTCATTTTATCAAAACCCAAAACTATTTAACAAACACAATATTGCGACTCCGTCCGTGAGGAGTCAAAAAAAACTTAAGTCTATGTGTTCTTCCAGGCTATTTCTACATCTATGCCAAATTTCATAAAAATCCATTGAGCCGTTCCGGAGATATCATCAAACAAACATACATACGTCCATCCGCATTTACATTACTTTTAAGAAGTAAGATTGCAACATTAATGACAAAACTGGAGGGATTTACCACAAACAAATCCTCTCGAGGCTTTGAAATATCCGTCAAATTTGGGGTCCGAATGCTCCATCTAGAGGTATAAATCATGATGATATCTTTAAATATTGTGAGAATTTCAACGACGTGAAGTGAAGTGAATCCAAAGTAATGAACATTTCCCAAATAAGATATGACCTAAAGGTCTATGTTACCAGGTCATAAAATTAAAAAAAAATGTGAGATAACAAGATTTTATAGAATAACATAATTACATTGTTATTTTCTGAAGCGACAAAGCTTTTAACAATTTGTTATTGTTTACGTTTTTTTTACATCGGAAACTTTTCGTCATGGTGATTGTAAATTACATTTCAGCAAAGATTAAAAACGATAACACAGTTCTTTGTTATCTTATCGGAAAATTCAAATTAAATTCATGATCAATATTTTACACAATTGATAAATTCAACAATTAAATGAATATTATTAAAACATCAATTAAATACGAACAGATTAGAATAAATATATAAGACAGATAAATTTCAAATTTCTAACCTAAATCTATTTAACATACTAACGTAACCTTATTACGAATTCGTCCAATCAAAAATAGTTTTTATATTTATTAAAATTTCTACATTAAATATGGAGACTGACGCTATCTTATCAATATTAAAATATCTTTAGAGCTGGAACAATCTAGAATACTGTGGCACATCAAAAATATTAGCTTATGATGAAAATATTTGATTTATTCACTTCGCGTATTCGTTACCTGAGATACAATGTTATTCAAACTTTATGGCCGCTCAGAATTTTGTAATCTCCGCACAACCCAATTTTATATCTCGTTACGATCAGTATCCTAAATTAAACAGTAAAAGTCAATCTGCATACATGGCGATCATTACCGTAAGTTATAGCTGACGCCCGCGACTACGTCCGCGCGGAATTAAAACATAAACTTAATTAGTAGCCGGTGTTCTTCCAGACTGTGTTTTACATCTATGCCAAATTTCGTGCGAGATCAACAATACATACATCCATCCAAACATTCACATATATAATATTAATAAGATATAGAAAAAAAGTGTTTTACAAGAAATATTATGGGATTTATTAATTTTAGTGCATTTTGTGTTTGATTAAGAGTTTAGATTGGAACGCGTTCATAACCACGAGCTGCCATAAATTTTGAATCTTATAATACTTTTATCATTAACGTCTATTTAACTTACATTATAAATAAAGTTTAATTAAGAAACATCTACCTAACTACAAATTGTAAATTACAATTCGAATTTCGTTTCTTCATCTCTTCCATCATTTTGGCACGTTTAGAAATTGTACGTAAAATAAATATCAATATAAAATCATCTTTTCAACAAAAAAAATAACCATTCGCTTGGCGATTTAAACTTGATTAAATAAAATACAGAATATAAAAAAAAATAATAACATTGCAACACATCTTTGGTTAAACATAAAGTTATATTGTCATGGAATTTTATAACAAAAAAAATTAAAAAAAATATATATGTACACATTGTAAATATTGCGTATTATATTATAAAAAAAAATATATAAATATTTGTGATGAACTGGAATGGCAAATTTAAAATCACTTTATAATACTTAATACGGTGGTATTTTTGACATAATGTCTGCCATACACGTGAATCGGTTATCTGCTCAAAGCAGTCCGTGTACAGCAGCCCTAACTCTCGGAAACACACATCAACTTACAAACTATCTTACTTATAAGATATTCAATGGCAAAAGAAGGCATTTTAACAAAAAAAAATTTTAAACACCCCGATTTTTTTTGTACTCATAAAATTACACAATTAAAAAAAACGTATAAAATTACATATGTAAAATATAGGATAAATAAAAATGTACTTTCAATACATGTTTTATCAAAGGTTAAAAAATAACATTTAGTAAATAATCCGATTTTTGTTCAAATAGTATTTCAAAAAAATTTGGTAATCTTAAAAAATATATATATGTTTAATAATTAAATATGTAAATAAATGAAACGATTACTCCTCTTCAGATTCGGTGTCAGAGTCCGGGATCGTGTTAAACCAATTCTCCCATTTTGATGGCGGCCCTGATGCGTTTCGACTAAAAAGTCACATAAAAAATTTAAACTAGAAAAACTACACAAATGAACAGTTAAAGCGAAAAAGGGACAAAACATACGTATTGATAAATATTTAGGCAACAATGAAATTCTTATATTTTTCTGACAGTTTGCTATCTGAAGGCTTATGAATTCACTACATATAAATGCAGCTGAGTGTACGTGTGTCATGTATTACCTGAGCTTGGTGACGGGCTGCGGCAGTGTGGCGGTGGCGGGGGGCGGCGGGGNGGGGCGCGGCGCTGCAGCGTCTGAGTGCCGCCCTCCTCCTCCTCACCGTCCCACCCCTCCTCCAGCACCCATCTGAACAATCATACAATCATTTATATAAAAATCGCCAGTAGTTAAACAACACGAGAGGAGAATACAACAAATTTAACAGTGGTAGAGTTCGCGTGCAGTTTTATGAGGTGACGTCATTTTACATTAATGGGTCATGGAATATGGGTCGCTTCGCTATTTGAGCGAATTCAGGTGCTGGCACAGGTGTGGCCACATGTTCTTTTGCCACCTTTTAAATTATTAAAAATAAGTAAGTGCTTTCATCACAGTATGACGTCACACAGATGATATCAGAGTAGCGGTGCTACAAAATGTACACTAAGGGAGTGCAACAACAGATGTACCTGGAGCTGTTGGCAGACTTGCAGTTCTCGCACTCGCTGCGGTAGTCGTCCACGTCCTCGCCCCCCGCCCCGCCCCCGACACCGCCCTCCACCCCGCCCCCCACCACGCCCTCGTAGCTGCACACGCACGATGGCTGCAACATACGATACAATAATATGATAATTCAATGAACGTACTAAATATTCTGGCTTTCAATTTCAGTATACACATACATATTTTTCTATGACATTTTCTAGCTTTAATGACAAGATTAAAAGCTAGAAAATCAAACGAAAATTACAATTGTCAAAAGTGGTTTGAGTTGCTGTAACAAAACTTAATTAGTAGCCTTTATGTTCTTCCAGACTATGTTCTACATCTACTCCAAATATCAGCGAGATCCATGCAGCCGTTCCGGAGATACCTTCAAACAAACATCCATCCATCTTCCAACAAGTAAATGCAACAATGTAAGGTACCTTATCGACGGTAAGTGGGAGTGTATCAGTAGGTGCGGGCGCGGGAGGCGGGGCGAGTACTGTTGGCGGGGTGGGCGCG